AATAGTTATAAAATATGACTTTGGAACAGTGCTTAATTGTATTAATCATTTTTGCCAATGTATAAAGTAATTTACGATTTTACTATCTATAATTAATTTTTAATATTATTTTCAATCTAATTTTCTGTATTTGTCGTAAGGCCCTTTGTAGGAGTGAATTTTATTGTAATTTTTAATCCATTGAACGTACATCTACTCTAATTAAACTGTGTGTCACAAAATTAAATGTAAAATTACTTGACATATCCTAGGTCTCTGCGATACAAATATATACATATATTTAATGTATAGACCGCGAGAAATCATGTTATAATAGCATTGTGAAACATTACTATAGTGTAAATGCAAATTAATGTAATCTTGTTTTTGGTCAAGAAAGATTATTATTATAAATATTACATTTTTTCCATTTTATCTGGCAGAATATTGGTAATTTCAATTATCATTAGTTTTAACATTTTTGTAGAATAAATTATCATCATTTTAATTACGGATCTGCCCGAAACGAAAAAAATCCACAGCCTTGTACTTGGTTCAATGCCAAATGTATAGTAAAAACATGAGAATCAAAAACTAGTTTCTTTAGCAAGTTATTACTTCGTTCTCTGACAAGTCACGACGTTAGTTAGTTAAAATTTAAATAGACTTAAGGCTGAGATTCATAAAATGAAATTAACTTAAACTTTACTTCTTCAGTCAGTAAACTCAAAGTTTAATTTGTCTTACTTAAACTGATATGACAAAAGTATTTTACTTTTCCTTTTGTATTTTATCTGTATTTGTGTCATATTAGTGAATAAAGAGTTTATCTATCTATCCATCTAAACCTAAATATGAAAAATTTGCTTAGTTCGCCATTTTTGCGCATTCAAAGTTACATTTCATTTTATAAATTTAGCCTTAGAGAGACATGCAACTTTTGCAATTAATAGCAGCAATTACCAAAATACCTTGTTATAATGAGAATAGACAACGTGTAGTATATATAGTCTTGTGCGTCATTCCGTGTTGCAATTGAAGGTAGGTCTGGTGGATTTTTGCAATTGTATAATAATAATAATAATAATAAAAATGTGCACACCCTGAATCGCGGCTACCATGGACACACACATAGAAAACCACAAATTACGCCAAAACTCACGAGAGAAATAATTGTAGGCCATATATTTCTCCCGGCTCGGGAATCGAACCTGAGATCTCTTGCGCGGCAATCCAACATGATAACCGTTCGGCTACGGAGGCAGTATTGAAGACCAGGATAATCATAGAGCACCGGTCTAACCGAGTTTGAGCTTCTGTCTTCGAAATTTTCACTTATAACTATTATACTACTTATGGGATTACATGATGTGAGAAAATAAACGATTTTATTATTATTATTATTATTATACATACACGTAACAATGCATGTGGTTGTATTTTAAATAATAGAATATGAACGAGTATGTACCTAAACTTACACAATGTTTCACAATTTATTATTCCATGATTACTGATTAAGTATTATTTAATATAATAAATGTACGTTCAAATTGGTATTAACTTTTTGAATTACGTAAAATTTTCTCGCATTAAAAAAAATGTCCGAAACTCATTACGATTGTTACTTTACTTTCTAATTTAGTAAATGGCTCAATATGGTCGCTCCCACAATGTAACTTCGAGAGCAGCATATTTCGATTGTTTTGTTTCTCAAGTGGATTCAAGCTTTAGGATTAATGCTTGAGTTTCGAGAGCGGCGTAATGTTATTATTATTATGTGTGTATATTATGTGTGTTATTATAAGGGAGTCACAACACTTATTAACTCGGAATCGGCTTGAGCCGTACAGAGCTTTATATATAGCATGCAATAAGAGCGAACATTATTAGTTGAGGGGAAAATAGAACTGCAGCGAACAAATAAAAGAGAACATCAAAGTGAGAGCCCAAGCTCCGGAGCAATTTCTTGGAAGTTGACGGTTGTATTCTTAACATAATTATTTCGTTCTATTTTTTATGTACGAACAAGTCGTGTGTCTGGTGTTAAACGACAAGCCATAGTAGCTTTCAATCGCAAGGACCTGAGGGACACTCACTGCGCTTGTCACCCTGAAATATAAGTTGACAAGTCCCATGTTGTGTCTGTAATTTTACCAGCACGTACATTCTCAATAGTTTAAACATGAGGCCATTGTTAGGGTTACGCAAGTACATTTTTTACTTGACCAATAGGACGTTGGACATGAAACTATTTTTCCGGATTTGACTGAGTGTTTAGTCGTTTGAGTGTTGACACAGTCAACCGTGAAAAAGGGATCTGTAAAGGGCCCGAAACGTTAGTTTGTTTGAAAAAACAAATATACGCGATTTAAATCCGGAAAAATACTTTCCTTTCCTACGTGTAACAATCGCGAAAACCCAAGAACTCGATACATAAGACGTTTTTCTTGAAAATATTTATATATCAGTTAATCATCGCAATCGTACTTCAACGTTGCCTTCTACCTTATTTACGTCTATGTATATTTACTTGTAACTTTTATATAATACTGTGTACATGTATAGCATATGTGTCGTAAATGTGCAGTGTGGCATAAAACAGAGGATACAGACTGCATGTACCATTTCCGTAAGACTCGCCAAGATTGACATTTTGCTGAGTCGTATCCTTTTCTCCTATTGCGCCACTATACACACTTACGTAGTCATTTGTTGTTTTAGTGGTAAGTATGAGATTTAAGTGTATATAGGGACCAATTTAATGAATAAACGTTTTTCTTTCTTTCTTTACTTAACATATCAACGAAGCAATCAAAACACTTGTTAATTTGAAATCGGCTTGAGTAGGTCGAAAAAACCATCATATAGCACTGCCGTCCACTAACTAAAAGGCAGCTAAGTGATAAATGGTCAAATATCCGTTTTAAATAGTAAAAAATAGAGCACAAAATTCTGTTTTATAAATAGTTAAAATTAGTTAACGTGTTCGACTTATCCGAACTTACCCTAACGATGCATAGCTGAAATATCATTAAACAATTGCAATATTCTAAAACTGGGTAATGGTTTTTATGATATCTCAAAAAATATTTTGTCCCTTAGCCGCGTTTTCGTTAGCACTACGTACGGCAGAGCAATTTGTGGAAAGCGCAATGTTATTTTAGCTCGTATTAAAATGGACATAAAGCTTTTTCTGATTGGCTTATTGCGATTCTGTGACGATGAGTGTGGTGAGGTCCTAAGAAAATAATTTTCAGTGTTATCTATATATTCTGCGTTGTTATGAATGGAGTAACCACGTATATTCTGGTTAGTGTATTAGAAAGTGACAAAGGTACACATACAAGAGATTGACTGTAGCGTTTCTAGTCATCTAAAGGAAATGACGTGTCCGGGAGGTATGTCGTTTGGATAGAATTGATTCTCTCAAAGATATTGGAATCATCAATCATCGCGAAGAAGGCATTGCATTATTTATTTATGTAAATGCAAAAAAAGGATAGAAAGTGACATGAGTATTATGACTGTGGGAAATATTCAAGTTGCAACATTATGTACTTTAATTTTAATTTGGCCCTGAGGCAATATTTTTTCTTTCTCCTAGTGTATCGACGTTTCTAGTACAAAATCACATGATGCAGATATACATTACATAAGAATTAAGACTTCGGTGACCTCACGATATAAATATGTGGACGCTGTATGCAGAGGTACCGGGTTCGATTCCCGGTAGGACAAACTTGGGAAATGAACTTTTTTAAATTGGTTCTAGTCTGAGTGTTCTAGGAAGTTCCTTAAAGTGAATTCCGTTGCTCTGGTGCTCAAAGTACAGGGAATTCTTCAGTTTGAGAGCAGGCATTTGGTGCTGTTATCGGGTACCTACATCAATAATTAATGTAATTGTACGCAACAAAAGTGCGACCATAACATGGCTAGTGCTCGTACTCATGATAAAATATTTTTACTATTTTAACCACTTCAAAATAAAGGAGGTGGTTTTCGTTTCGACTGTATTTTTTTGTATGTACTCCATTTGTGAACCGATTTTGATGATTCTTTTTTGTTGGAAATAGGGTACCTCAGTATTGGTCCCATTTAATTTTGAAGGAAATATTCCGCCTCTAAGGTGCCCCCTTACTAGGGGATGAATCCCGTTTCGCGCACTTTCCGGTAACCAATTTCAATAACACTTGGCAAATAGATGTAATTCCACTCATTTTTGAGGTCTTTTTTTTTGTATAAAAAAGTTACAATATATTTTTTAAAACCGACCCTAAAAATTAGCTCTGCTTTTGCCGTGTTCGTTGCCGTCTTCTCAACGATAACTAAAACGCGGATATCCTCGCCAAGACGAATAATATGAGCCCAAACATAAAATAGTTGCTGTATAGATCAGTTGTACGTCAATATAATATTATACTTTCATTGCAATTACATCTATGTTCCATGATTTGTTGAAATCGATTAAAATTGTGAAATTCAGTAAATTGTGTTCAATCCCCTCATTTGCCACCCTTAAATGTAGAATATCTTCTTCAAAGTTGAATACGATCACTAATGAGGTACCCCCTTTTCAATAAAAAAAAAATGGAATCATCGAAATTAGTTCACGAATATACGAGTAATAGCGCATACACACACAAAAAAATACAGCCGAATTGAGAACAGGCTCCTATTAAAAAAAAAAAATAATTAATTAATTTTATATGTCGCTCAAATTTCGGATTCATCGCAAATATTACTTAAACAAATGAATGAATGAAATATACATTATTAATAAGTAATTAAAAATTACAACAACAGCTCCTAACCGGTTGTACCTACCTATAAATATGTGCTTCAAACGGTAGATAACAATTTTTTGTAACAACTTGGTTTCTTTTTGTTAAACTTCTTGATTATCGTGAGCACTTATATTATTATATTTATACTTATGTATGAATAAGGCTTGTTGTATATATATAACTACACGTAACAGTAGAAGTATATATATGTACAGGTAAACGAGGTTGACGTACCTGCAAAGAACGCTTTCGCGGAAGAAAAGTTGGATTGCACCGGCAAGCACCGGCAGCGGCCCTGCGAAGGAAATGGAAAGGGTTACTTGTTTGTTGATTGATAGAATAGTGGATTTATTAAGTATGCTTGTATATGACTGTCCTAGTATAACTTCTAGTGCTGGTGGTTTTAGCTTTATATACTTAGAGATTACGTGTTTTCTTGAGCACTGGACCAATGTTATATCAATTTCATTACCTATCCCGTTATAGTGTATTAATCTTACTATGCAGAAGCGGATGCGGCCGGCAGAGCACGAGAAAGTGCAGAAAGAAACCGTAATATGATCGCTAAAGTACGTATTTAGAGTAAAAAGCAGAAATGTGTTTTTTTTTTAAGTAGGAATGCTACCAACATTTGCAACAACCGAAAAGCTGCCAGCTTTTAAGAGCCCTATTTCCTCGCTTTTATAAAACAAACAAAAATGCAAGAGCCACAAATAAAGACGCGTGGGATACGTAGCCATTATAATTAAATTATTTTTTTTATGCAAGAAATCCTTGCGTTTATCGACAATGTGTTGCTAATTGAAGACTTGGACGAGGGTGCTATACACTTGTCTAGAAGATACATAAGTATATATAAAAAAAAATATTCGACATATTCTGAGTGTATCGTTCGGGACTTATAATAATATGGACGCAAAACGCTTCATGTGAATTGATGAAATATCAAGTGTAAGGATGAAAACGTGGAAATAAAGAGGTTGTCTCCAAGTACAATAGCCTAAGCAGGTTGGAAATGTTCTTAGAAAAGGCCAGGATAAAGAGTTTGTTAGGAACGTAGCGGGGATCATGGTCGCTGCCTTCCGATATGGAAGACCGGCCGGAAGAATGGAAGAATTGTGGTTTGTATTTACGTAAGGATGAAATGCCTTACCGAGTAAGGTGGACGGGGTGATAGAATGAAGCGGGCAGGATCAAATCATATATGGTGCTACGCATTTTATACAATAATGCCCAAAATCAGGCAACTCGACAACGATATTCTAACCTTTTGTGGCTGTTTAAACTAATGCCTTTTGTAGTTTTTCTAATAAAAGAGGTACTACAAAAAAGTTTGTTATACTCGTAAAAACTGAAGTGATTAACACGATATGACGCCACAGGAAACAGCAAATGCCTTCATTATGACGTTGATGGAAAAATGCAACACGTGATGACGCCTTTAGTTACGAGAAATAAGTTGTATATAATGTAATTATTTATTAAAACAGGAAACAGCAAAATGTTTAAAAACTCTGTAATATGTTATAAACTTTTAAAGAATATTTTTACGGTTTTTCATTTGCTTATTTATTTTGTCTCAAAAACTCAATAGCCTTATTTTCAGTAATAAAACGTTCGATGTGTAATAAAGTTTGCATAAATCACAACCACGCTCCAAAATTTATTTGAATATCCTAAGAAAATATTTTACCATAATTGACCTGTCATGCTCTTCAATTTTATTGCGCAATTAAAACAAACTGCTTTCGTATTTCAATTACATAAAACACATTTGATATATGTTGCACACACAACAATATAGGCTGTTTGAAACAATACCTTTGTAAATCGTTTTCCTCAAACATTCTTGAGTTATGTACTGTCTGCGGTGGTGAGGAAAATTGCAAATAAATGGCAATTAGTAGAGACAGCAGAAAATCAAAGTAATATACACGTGTAAAAAACTTTTTGAATTTGTACATACATCAACATTATAAGTTTGCACTCTTGGTGTCAAGTCTATATTTGCGAAATGACAACTTTTCAGCAGAGGTTTGATTTCATATTTATGTAATTAGCAGTACAGCGCCTTGTGAAAAAGTTCGCACAGGGAAGTACTGCCACCTTACCTATATCTGCCGCCAAACAGTAATGTGAGCATTATTGCATTTCGGCTTTGAAGGGTAAGGGTGAAATTACATGTGTCAGTGTGACGGGCGCAGTGGCAGTGCTCCTCAAATCTCTGTAATTTAAAAATCTCTAAGTGGCATTACAAATGTTACGCGTGCTTGCATAATTAAAAACGTGCATCGCGTTTGCATAGCCGTTGTATCGCTGTTTAAGTCACGCGTGTGTGTAAAGATGTGATTAGCGACTATATAGTCGCAACTGAATCGTTGGAGATGCGCTGCGTCGCCATGTGTAACCGCTCTAAGGGTCGTATTCTAGAACTCTACTCAATGCTCAAGTCAGGATTTGAGTATGGTTAAAGCACTCGAAATCATACTCAAGTCCCTGCCATTAGGGTCGCATTTCCAGTGCTTGTGTTTCCAGTGCAATCCTGACTTGAGCATTGAGTAGAGTTCTAGAATACGACCCTAAGAGACCCCCGACACTAGCGTCTTTCGAGCGTCAGCATCTTGTTAACGCACGCACAACATGGACACGACATGCGCGCGACCGCGACGCAACGCCAGCGCGGCGTATACCCAACGTTCGGCAATATCCAACGCAGCGGTCGCTCAGAGTTGGCGTTGCGTCCACAAATTAGTCAGGGATATTACGTTACGTCGCCGCCATTGATGACGCTGTGCGTGGGTTGGTACGACTGGCGACGCTCGAAAGACGCTAGTGTGGGGGGTAGTTCCATTTTCAATACGTACAAATTACCCTAAGATAATCAAATGCTAATTTCAATTATTACTTTAAAGATGTAGGAGAAACTTTAGCAAACATGTTTCAAGTTATTTTTGAATAAACTGGGCGTTGAAAAATATCGTAATAGGTAACTTGTTTATTTAATAATTCAAGTTCTTCTACTAGTCGTCATACTGGGTGAAAACAAATTAAATTTAATAGTAATGTGGTAGACGACTAACTACATACCTGGTCTCAAATTTGGAAATGTCTTTTTGTACTATAAATACGTGAGTGATGGAGTATCTTTGGTATGACAAAGCTACATGTGACCACTGTGTCAAAAGGGCTTTTATCACATGAAAGTCGTAAAAATAATACGAACTACATACAACAAATCTATTTCCACTAGTCCCTATCAACTGTCCCCCCTGATGGCGACATAGGTACCTATTATAAAATTGCGTAACTCTAATATTGTAACATAAAGAAGTTATCAGTTCATTTCGTTGGTAGAATCTTTGAACCTCTCTTCGGGAAAGTAGTTATTTTGCAGATGTGACTTTATTACACCAAGGATGCGAACTCACTCCGGGTACTTACTATCCACAACTAGACCAGAATCAATTTAGAAAAGTTCATTCTCCTCCTTGTCAAATGCCGACAGCGCAAACCGCCACCGAGGACACCGAGGTTGTCCATTTTAAATTGTTACATTGCTTCAAATGAAATCCAAGAATTGCTCATCAACGTCGTGGTAAAAAATATAGCGAACGGTTATGGAGTGGAATTCCCAGCCGACTGCAGATTTATCCCTTGAACGTTACAACTTGGGCCTTTTCAAGGCTTGCTCCATTGATCGACTTTGTGACGATGTCGTCACTTTACATCAGGTGAGATAATAACGTACACACTCAACATAGCCCCGCACTAGTGACATCCTGTGGCGCGGGTGCTATGGACACACACAGACAATCACAAATTACACCCAAACTCACGAGAGAAATAAATGTAGGCCATACAAATTATCTCCCGGCCCGGGAATCGAACCTGGGACCTCTGCGTGGCAGTCCGGCATGGTAACCGTTCGGCCACAGAGGCAGTCAGTTATGGTGCAGTAGAAGTTAGTAAAATGCGCACTTATTTAAAAAAAATGGAAATTTGACGTTGCTGTCGACTAAACAAATATGGCGAACTCAGCAAGTATTGCGTATTTACAAAACGAATTTAGCTTTTGCTTAGTCGAAGGCAAAGTTTGTCATAATGCATCTCAGCCTGCTGGGAACGGCAGTTTTTAAACTTTTGCTTAAAAACAGCCGTTCCAAGCACGTGGCTAAGTGATTGCAGGCGAACCTTAGTCGGAATGCCCTTTAATATTTAAGATTAATTTCCCAGTGAAATGCAATCTCTATTTTGATTGTATGTAGATTCGAAAACTAGTATGGGTGTGTCAATACTTATTATCTATGACTCGAAAGTTTCATATGTTTTGTATTGAGCGTAAGGGCCATCGTACAAAATGTAGTATACATCAAGTGTATTTATTATTGCGACATGCCCTGCTTGAGTCATCGTGTTTGTGGTGTTGATTTTATAATGTTTTTTTGCTACTAAGTACATGGGCACGGAAAACGGCACGTCTCCGGCTACACTTAGGTTTGTAACAATAATAGTAATGTGCTTAACAATTACCGGGTCTTAAACAAAGCAACTTCTGTGTCAGAGCAACGAAATTAATTCTGGGGTGCACAGTACACAGAACACTGCACAGTACTAATTTAGTAACGTTAATTTCTCAAATTGGACCTCTTTATCCAACGCCTACAATGTAAACTATTAGGCAATCGAGTCGTCGATTTGAAATTAACTCTAGTCCTCCGACTATAAGGCGGTGCAAAGTACAAAGGCCATTACACTACGGACTACTTAGCGTTACGTGCCTTTATTTTATTGCATAGCCATTCAAATATTAACCTTGTAGCTACCTAATGTGATTTTAAGGTAAATTTTTGAAGGAACCACCACACTTGTCGATATGGAAACGCTCGGAAAAAAAAAATTTTATGGGTTTTATTTGCCGCTCGGACTGACTCGAAATAACACGTCTTTGTGGCTTTTGTAAGCCAAAAATACGTGCGTTTCGAGTGCATGGACATAAAAGCTTGTCGATCATTAATTAACAGTGTTTTATTTGCCTCATTGACATGTAATTGTTGTCAATACAGGGCGTCTCACGGTTAAGGCATATGTATTGAAAAACCTTGAATACCATAAATAGAAAATTAAGTCTTAATTTTGATTTTAAAAACAATTGGAACTACATTCAAAGATTTTGAAATAACCGCCAGTCTGAACCGGGAATCAAACCCGCTAAATGTGAAAAACAAACACCTGTAACTTTAGTAAGCTTAGTTCTATCGTAAGGATTGTTTTCTTCTAAATACCATAGCATCTTAA